TGACCTTGTTGGCGCCTCTGCAGAGATAACAACAGCATCTGGCTTGGCATCTTCCTCCCCCCTTCTCCTAACTTCTATGGCGGGAACAAGCAAGCAGGCCTCTAAGTAACAGTTTAACCATTTAACTGTCAAATATGCATTGCTGGTCTAAATTAACAAAAACTAAGATTTCTAGCTTGCGTAGATCCTGACACTATGTCTTGCAATTATAATATTTAATAAAATTATTTTTTTAAAAAATGAATATGGCCTCTGTCCTAGCTTATGTGACAGGCAAATGCAGCCAATATACTTGCACTTTGTAATAGCTTTTGTTAATCCTCTCCAAATTCCCTTGAACTAAAAATATGTTTATATCTTCAGCAACCCCAGTCTTAGAAACCCAAAGAAAGTTCTAAAAGATTTATTGCCAGAAAACGGGTGCACCGCCCCTACAGTGGCTGGGTTGGTGCCTTCTGGAAGAAAAACAGGATCTTCCCCAGAATGCTGGGTTCTGCACACAATTACCCAGCCAAAATCCCATGAAATGGGCTAGTCCTGAGAGCCTGAGCACATCCATGTGGCTGGAACCCACTGAGGCTCATCCTGGGCTTGGTGCACAGCAGAGAGTAGCTGCAGACAGGCTTCCTGTAAATTGTCGTTCACAATCACTTGATCAAAGAATTGTCCAAACTGAGTTTCAATTTTTTTAGCTGACTCCTCCATTTCCTGCAGGTCTTCTTCCTGGAGGGGGATCACAGTAAAATAATGAGCCGGCATGGTTGTACCTGCTGCTTCATTGCTTCAACTTGGTTTCTCTTGCTAGCAGGCATGGATATAGAAAAGAAGACAATTTGAGCCATAGTTTGTTTACACACCACGAAAGAACTCCAGTTTGCTGCTTTCTTGATAAGCCACAATCATAAGCCATGTTCTGTACCTACTAAAGAAATCATAGATTCACTTATTCTTGAGTACCACCTAGAAAACTGCTGACTCCTGATTTGACCCCCATAAAAGAGAGAACAAAAGACTTGAAAACTAACAATGGAATTGGAATCAAGGTACTCTCAAGTGGATAAAGAAAAGGCCTATCTTTGTATTTAAAAACAGATCAAATATGTGGTTCATCTCTACAGTCAAAGAACTCTTAATTCATACTCAAAGAGGGGCAAAGAGAGAGAGAGGCCTCCTCCTCATGCTTTGCTCAAGGTTTTAGTAGTTAAAAGGCTACTTGAAAGACCTTGAGCAAACAGAAAAATATCCCAGTAATTCCCATCGGTAATGCCAGTCCTGCCACAGGCACAATGCTGGCAAATGATGCTGTCATTTATTTCTTTGGAATGCATAAACAGTATATAGGTCATGTTAAGGATACAGATTGGTGGATCCTATGGCTTTTTTCCCTCCCCTCC